GATAAGTAAGTTTGAATGTTTGCCACAGAAATGTGACTCCCCTCCTTCTTTGAAGTAGAGGCAGTTAACAATCTGTGCTTTGTGATTCATGCTTAATTGTCTGCTTCTGCAACTTACTTATTTTTTTCCAAAATAATTTATCAGTTCCTTAATGACTAGGTATCATACTTCCTGCAAGGCCTTCATTGGACCTAATATTTGTTATTGGCATAATATTTTATCTGGGAGATGATTTAATTCCAATTCATAATTCATAGAGGAGCCTGTTATACCAAATTGCTAATCTAAGGATCCAGAGCAAAAGAGGAACATAATTGGTTTTAGCAGTATTCGATCTTAGTTTCTCAGGTTGATAGCCATTCATTCATTTTCTACTAGTTTTCTGTTTCCATTTATTTGCATTATTTTATTTCATCTCCCCAAACAATTTTGGGATAAGGTTTTTCTTTTCCACATTTGATGATTGTAGCACTTGAGGAGTCATTGTTCAGTTGAGTCTATGAAGGCTTCCCTATATTCATGCAGGTCACATCATTACACAGCAGTTGGTCATTTTGTTGTTGTTATTGTTCTTTAGTTTGGGAGAGGGAAGCAGGTGTCTTGCTTGTGCTGAATGTAATACTAATGACATTGACAAAAGAAAGTCCCTTGGGCCAGCTGTATTTAGGGGAAAGCTCTCAAATCAAATAATGGAATATAATTTACTTGTTAAAGAATAAAACTGATGACCTATAGGTAGCTGCATTTTTCCACTGCTCAGTGAGTCATCTGTGTTCAATTTCTATTCCTGAATCATAATCCTCAAAGCGCAGAGGAAAGTAAATACTTAGCTCTACAAAAAAGTGGGAGAATAAGTACTGGCATCATATAAAATGTCTCCAGGAGCCTTGACTTTAATTTTCAAGGGGATTTTTCTACTTGGAGCATTTACCATATATTTACTTTATTCTACAATTAAAGTTCTTATTAACTTTTGCATCTATTCATCTGGACCCCAAGCAAGAAATTAAAATAAAGAGCTTATTGTTTATGTGGATCCCCAAGTGCTATTACAAAGTATGGCAGGTTTAACAAACAGGCTCAATAGAAATGGTCTCCACATTACATCAATAATTGGAGAGGTTGCTCATGTCCTTGACCAGATTGCAGTTGTGTTAGGTTTTTTTTTTTTAATTTAAACCATTGTGTTATATATGCTGATAAAGGGGTGTGTGTGTGTGTGTGTGTGTGTGTGTATGTGTGTATATATATATATATATATATATATATATATATATAGTCAGTTTTTTTTAATCAAAACCCTTTCTCAGGATCACAAAGAGCTGCTTTTATTAAACTGACAATCTATGTTTCAAGTATTTTCCCATTTTTAATTTTATTGCCAATTAGAATTTCTCAAGCTCACCTGATATATTTCTATGTAACATTGCATTTATTCCATCTCTGAACAAAATGTAAATGCCATTCAGATGTGAAGATCTATTATAAGATTGAAATAAATTTCAAATGCATTTATCAGTCATTTTGAAGCATGTGATTTAAATCAGAAAAAAAATTCCGATGAATAGTTTCACAGTTTCTACTCATATACACTAAGATTAATATGTTTCTACTAGTTTTGGGTTATTACAGACCCTAACATGCAATGTGACCTTGGTCTGAAAAGTATGTTTGGTTAGCACAGAAACTTAATCATAACAAGTCATAAGTAGAATCCTTCTTCTTTACTGCCCTTTTTCTAGGACTAGAAAATTTATTGCTTGTGGGACAGGTAGGATATGAACAATGGGCCAAATAGAGTCCAGGGTTATCTCATCTGTGTGAAAACTGCTGCTGAAAATCGATGTGACCTCTGCTACACTGTCATCCCAGTTCCCACCCTCTGTGTCCTATTTGTCTTTTGGTAGAAGCTTAGATCTGTGTGCTGTCTCTATGCGTCTCTCTTGGGCCAGATTATCAAAATGAATCATAGCCTGCATACCTCTTATATTTCTATTTATTTTCCTGGTGTTGACTAGGTCTGATGAAATATGATTCTTTTTGCATTTGATCCTCACTGCAGCAAGCAACACCTAATTCAGCTGTGTCTATCTCTTTAAAGAAGAGTAATACTATTTTGAAACTTCAATCTATGGTACAGCAACATTACAACCATGGACCATGCAACCTGTCTTCATAGTCAATAGTAATGTTCCTTTCAGCCAATTTAATGACATTTCTTTCAGCTTCAAACAGGAGACTTCTAGCAATTTTAACGTAGTTATAATTTTGTTTTGTGCATACTGAATGTAATGCTTTCATTTTCAGAAAGAGTGCCCCTCAGATTCTTACCACTGAAGTTATACATGTGTGTAGAGTGAAATATAACAAGAAATCCAGTACTTTTAAGATCTCTGTCTCTGATACAAAATATTTATTTAGGGGAAATATTATGTTGTCTCTGAATCAACAGATAGTCAATATTCTAACTTTGTAGTGGTTCATTTTGTAAAAATAGAGCTTTCCTGCTATACAAATTCATACTTTAAGATTTATAATTATCAATTCAAAAGTGCAGTCTCTCTAGCCATTATTAGTATTGATAGATCAGTATTCAGTCATTCCATCTACTTTATGCACTTATGCGCAAAACACAACACTCAAACAGTACAAATAAAACATAATAGTGCTTGTCTTTTTGAGAAATGTATTTTTAAAATATTAGAGCTGTTAATTTTAGGATTTAGTTTTTTCTACAGTTTTATGAGATAATATTTTAAAAGAAATCATGTAGTTGAACAAAGTCAAGGAATTTGTGATGATGTGCTGATCTTTTCTGTTCTTTATGGAAAACTCAATCTTTTCCAAACATACCAGTTATTTGAGAGACACAGAGAAAAGAGAGAGAGAGACAGAGACAGAGAGATACTCTATAAGATGCTTAAGTTTATTATAAATATTAATATGATTATTATAGGCATAAACCTATGAGGGAGTTATAGAAAATCCATGCATTATGCATTAATGATCAAAATACAGTTTCTTTAGGTTTTCTAAAAGTTAGTTCCAGGGAAATATAGCTTTCAGTGCTGAAGAAAATTAATGTGAGAATCTATGCATTTTACTGAATTTTTGAGACCAATAAATAATGTTAATTTTTGGTTTCAAATAATGTGAAACAGTTGCTTTTCTTAAATAATCATTTAGCATTTTTTTCACTGTTGATTTTAGAAAAAGAAAATTAAGAGTATTTTATTTATGGACAATGGTATCCCATTAAGTAATCTCACTGAAGTTTCCCGCAATTGTTTGCCACAAATTCCCACACAAGAAATTCCATAGCAAAACACGATGACTGTGAAATCAATGGGTTTGAGAATCTGCTCACTACGTATGTAGGCTACTTGCAATTGAAAAATGAAGTCTAACTGTATGGCAAATCAATATTTGCATCCTTACAGGAACCACACCACTAGCTAGATTTTTTTTGTTATTGTTATTTCCATACCATCTGAAAAGTGGTTAGGACAACATTTAAGTCTAGTCTTTTTCCTAAGTGAGTCTCTTTAGAATATATTAAGTCACTGAAAATTGTTTCCATCCATAAAGAAGCCTATTTTTCAACATTCACTTATGCCCTGTTGCTGAAATTAGGAAATGGCAGTGAGGAGAGTAACTGAAGTTTAATGATTCACCTGATTATACTGTTGAACTATAATTAGGAGTAACTGAGTTTGTTAGGTTTCATCCCAAGACTCTGTGTATCAGGTTTTCTTAATTTTTTTTTTAAAAAATTGTAGATGTAGAAGGGCAGAATGCCTTTATATGTTTATTTTTATATAGTACTAAGGATCAAACCCAGTTTCTTGCACATACTAGGCAAGCACTCTGCCACTGAGCTACAGCCCCAGCCCAGTTTTTTTTTTTATTTTACATATGTCAAAAAATGTCTCCATTTTCAGTTATAGAGGAATTTTGATATCTGGTTCGTATATCTCATATAAAATATTGTCAGCCAAAATTCAAATTGATAGCAGAGTAGTTATGTTTCTCAAAGTAAGAGATTCCCTTTCTAATTCAATATATCTGTCCAAAATAAATCTGAAACATCTTAATAGAGAATTATTCTGTTGATGTCTCTTTATCTGGTACTAAGAGACAATCTGATTAATGAGAATGTGGAAGAAAATAATATAAAATCTAAAGGTGAGGGTTAATACAACTTGCATTTCTGTGGCTTAATTGGTTTCTTTTTTCATAAAGAATACTTCCCAAGATTAAAAGTAAGCAATGGAATACTGTTTAGTAATAAAAAGGAAGAAACTATGGAAATATGACACAATGTGAATAAACCTCAGAGAAATGATATTAAGTGGAAGAATCCAGGCAAAAAAAGCCACATATTGTGTCCAGAAAAGGTAAAACTTTAGAAAGAGAGTAGCATACTTGCTGCCAGAAGCTAGGTTGGGTGAGTAGATTAACTATAAATATGTATGAACAATCTTTTTGCAGGGTATTAAAACATTCTAAAACATTGGTTGTGAAAGAAAACTCCATACATTTACCAAAAATTAAGCATATACCTAAAATAGTTGAATTTAATGTCTTTAAATTACACTTCAGTGAAGCTGTTAAAAATAATGAAGACAGGTTGGTATATAGGTAGATACATAGATTTGAAGAGAAAATAAATAAAGACAGCTTATACATTACTAGAAAGTGGTCTGATTATCTAGTTTATAGATATTCATAAACAGGTACATCAGTTGTATTTATCTGAAAATCTTTTCAACAGATTTCATTTTATTTCTTTAGCAATAAATATGGTTTCAATTTCATGGGTTCTGTATTGAATCACTTATCTTCAGAAAATAGAGGCAACTGCACAATAGGTATGTTTTCTATTATGAGTGTCCATCATTTAGTTTTTGGATCAGTATTTGTAGATGTCTGTTGGAGGTGATTTGGTGAAACATTTGACCTGTTAATTTGTGAACCTTCTGACATAATTTTTTTTTCAGAAGAAGTACCTGTTCAAATTCCACTGATGAAGTCACCCTTGGACAAGCTTCAACTGGCTCCTGGGCAGGCCTTGCCCCCTGGATTCCCTGGACCATTCATTTTTGCTGATAATCTATCCTCCGTGGAGACTCTGTTGACCAACATTCAGGTCAACAATATTTCTATAAACAAAATAAATGTAATACAAGACATTAGCACCTACACAAATTATTTTGTATTTGAGAAATTAAAACAGATAAGATGAACTGCATGTCATTTGCTGTACTTTGACAGGGTCTGCTGAAAGTGGCTTTGGATAATGCTCGCATCCAGGAGAAGCAGATTCAGCAAGAAAAGAAGGAACTGCGAATGGAGCTCTATAGAGAGAGAGAGATTAGAGAAAACCTTGAAAGACAACTTGCAGTTGAGCTTCAAAGCAGAAGTAAGTTCAACATGTTCAGTTACAGAGTAAATATTGTGTTGGAGGTATTTTTAATAATTATTAGAAATATTACCAAAGATAGCTTAATACTGCTGAAAATAAATAAGATACAAAGCAAATCTGTATGCAAACCACAACGAAAGAAATGTATAGTCCATCTCTTTATACTAAAAAAATAATGAACTAGATCTGTACTCTGGGCTAGTTCCAGATTTAGAAAAATGAATACCTATAATTCTCTTGCAATGTTAGAAAATGCATATAGATAAACTTATAATTCCTTACATATGTAATGCTTATTCTTGCTCGGCACAGTGCTACATTCTGGAATGAAAAAATGAATGGACTCAGTCCATGTCCTTGAGGGATTTACATTTTAGAGAACTAGCACAAGCAGTTAAAGTTAAAAAAAAGTGGCAAAAGTAAACATGCACAGTCTTCATGATTATATATAGAGGGTTTGTTTGCTCCGCTTGCTGGAGTGGTGAGGAGATATAAGGAGTATTTTCTGATGCTGACACCTGAATCTGAGTCCTAAAGGATCAGCAGGGGGAAAAAAAGAATGTGCAAGGAAACAAGTGGGGCATTCTAGGCAGGGAGATCAGCATAGGCATGGAGAAAAGAAACTTCATCCATGGGTGACTATAAACAGTTTATTATTGGGGCTGGGGATGTGGCTCAAGTAGTAGCGTGCTCGCCTGGCATGCCTGCGGCCCGGGTTCGATCCTGAGCACCACATACAAACAAAGATGTTGTGTCCGCCAAATACTAAAAAATAAATATTAAAATTCTCTCTCTCTCTCTCTCTCTCTCTCTCTCTCTCCTCTCTCTCTCTCTCAAAAAAAACCAGTTTATTATTAGAGTGGCTTTGAGTTTTCTGAAGTGAATGGTAGGAAATGATGCACATAAATAGGTGTAGAATTTAAATTATGAAGAATATTTTTAACTTTGTAAAAGATTAGCTTTGATTTTATCCTATGGGTGATTGGAAGTATTAGTATATAAGCAAGTGAATCATTGGATCTGAATTCATTTGGATAAATTACTCTGATCATGGGGATAAATTAGGGGAGAATTAATGTAAGACTAGTGGTAAGACTAGGAGCAGAAGATTCAGAATTTCACTTTCATAATTTCCACATCTTCCGTTCATTTTCCATAAAATATTAAACAGTATAAAAAGTAAAAGTTATGAATTACAGCTTCTTTCTCTCCCCTGCTTATTCTTCTATTGAAGGATCACAAAATCTAAAATAAGTAAAAGGTTGAAAAGTGTGAAGGAGAGGCAAAGAAAGAAAATAGACCAAATGGATAACTCTAGTCAAAGAAGGATGATTACACTTGAGTAAACTTGACTGACTTTACACTACCTCAAAGTAACAAATTATTGTTTCAAGAGCTTGAAAACATACTCTGTATTTTCTTTAGGTCCTAGGAATCATTGATTCAATATAAAATGGAATTTCAAACACTGCATTTAAAAAAATGAAACCTGTTTTCCTTAACCTAAAAAATTCATCAAATACAACAAAGCAAAGACTTTATTGTCTTTTTTAAAGTTTGGTGAAATTAGTTTATCTCTGATAGTATGTGAAATAGTGTGCAATGATTAATAATCATAATAACTCACATTTATTTACTAAGGAAATTTTTATTCTAAAACAAAAAAAACATATGCTAAATACAATAAGCTTCTTAAATTGACTCATGAAAATCTAGTACATATAGTAAAATTAACTTCTAATTTTTAGGGAATATACTCACTTAATGTCTGTTTGCTAACATTTCATGGACATTTTAGTTCTACATTTATAATATCTATTATCCTATAAAAAGTTGTAGACCTGGTAGGCATAATTAGTTATCAAATTTGCCTTGAAGTACTTGTATTTAACAAATTTAGCATTTGTTATAATATGATAAGGCTAATACTACTATAATTACTATCATCACTAAAATTACTACCATTTAGTATTTAGTCACTATTATAACCACTACTATTACCATCAGTACTGTTGCTACTACTAGCTAATAATACTTACTGTCTACCATGTGCTGAGCACTGTTTTTAGAACTTTATTTGTAATTAATTACTAATACAACTAAGAAAACTACTATTTATCCTCATCACTATCTACTTCATTTCTACAAATCTCAGCAACCTCATCTATTACAATAACTTAACTAGATAATCATTTAAATTTCTTTTTGCTTACTTGAATATCTCATATCCAGTATACCCAAATTTTAAATGTCTTTTAAATTTTTTTATTTATACATAATACTAGGATTCATTTTGGCATAATTACAAAGCATGGAATATAATTTGCTCTAATTCAGTTCCCAGTATTTCCCCTTTCCCTCACCTCCTCCCTCCCCTTGTTCCCTTTCCTCTACTCTACTGATCTTTCTGCTATTTACTTATAGATTGAGATTGGCCTGTGTCCAATCAATTACCTGTCTTGGTCCACTAACCAACTCTGTTGTCCCTAGGCTTTGAAAAACCAACTTATGTGATACACAGGTTTTGTCAACTAAATTCAGAGTGGTAGAAACATAATACCATATTTTCATTCTTTTTAATATGTATTTTTTTAGTTATAGTTGGACACAATACCTTTATTTTATTTATTTATTTTTATGTAGTGCTGAGGATCAATCCCAGGGCCTCACATGTGATAGGTGAATGCTCTACCACTGAGCCGCAACCCCAGCCCCATATTTTCATTCTTATAGCTAAGTAATACTCCATTGTGAGTATATCAAAATTATAAACTAAGTTCACCTTATGGAATAGATAGGGCAGAAGGTTGATATTATGGTTATAATGCCACATATCTCCAATAATATAATAAAACAATATTAATATATAACCTACATATATAAAAATATGTAATATCATATAAATATAGAAAAAGAATTCTTATTACTTTTTTCCCATAAAAGAAAAATATGCTCCACACTAAAACCAAAAATTCTACCCAATTGTTTTTTGCTGGTAGCTATGCTACTTGAATTAAACATACATATCCATATGCAATAATATACCATGATATTATTTGCAGAATAAACATTTAAAATAATAGAACGATAAAACAACAGGAAACTTTGGGGTCATCTGCCTTGGTCCACTAACCAACTCTGTTGTCCCTAGGCTTTGAAAAACCAACTTATGTGATATACAGGTTTTGACAATTACCAGTTATATCATTTTAGGTAAATCTTTGACCTCTCAAAGACTCAGTGGCCTTCTATAAATGGAAATGGTAGTGTTTTTTCTTACAGTGTTAATTAAGACCTTAATGTGTTACATTCTCAGCAAAATGATCAGTACATAGTTGGTTCTGAATAAATTATAGTTATTGTTGTTTATTTTAATAGTTTTAATGTAATCTGTTTGGCATTGTTTGCAGTATGTGAAATCACAAATTTCAACTGAATCAACATATAGAATATTTTTGCCTCATTAATTTTATTTGAAACACAAGTTTGTTTTGACAAAGGCATTAAGTTACACATTAATTTCAATAAATCTAGGTTTCTAATTTAAATAATTTGTTTATTGCTATGTTTAAATGATATTTGAATATAATTATGATACTAATATATTTTTATGTTCATTCCTATTTAGCAGTATTTCATCAAAATAATAAAAATCATACTTTCTCATTGTCTTTGTCTGAAGAATTCCAGTTTTTTTCCCTTAGATTTTTGAGATTTTGCATTTGCATAGCAGTTTACTTATGTAACTGACTCTCTTCAAGTTGTTCAAGGTAGTTTATATGAAAATATATTTAACCATGAGAAGAACACATTTGAAACAATTAGTAACATATTCAGTTGAGTTCGAAGATTTTAATTATATATGAGTGCATTGAACATTTTTAAACATCAGATCATTTATTAGGTTTCTCAATGGACTTTGAGTGTTCTTTTATTGAAATAACAGCAATAACTTAATTTTTAAAAACTAATTTAGGAAAAGTATTACTCTGCTTACAACCCTGCTATGAACCAATTTATTGCTGAAACTTAATAATTCCATTTAAGGTGCTATCCTAGATTTAGGCTTTCAGAGTTTAAATATAACTACATGAGGGACACTGAAGTTTTTACTTGAGAGATAAAACTTTGAGAATTGAGGTACACCTCTTCCTTAGCTCTATTTTACCTTCCTGCTTACCAAATGAACATTACTGTAGTTGCACTTTTGCAACTTGCTTATATAATCATGTCTGAAAATTATTCTCCGTGTGTGTGTGTGTGTGTGTGTGTGTGTGTATTTGTATGGGGAGAGAAAGACTGATGATATGTGCATTATTTAAACAAATACATTAAATACATTTTTTGCTTTTATAATTGGTCCCATTCCACTGAAATGGATATTGCCACTTTTAGTTTAAAAGATCATAGTATTCAACCTAATAGATATTGCGGGGGGGGGGGCGGGTTATTTTTTGCATTTTGAAATATTAATAGCAACAACTTGATGAGTAATAGCAGTATATTTCTTTAGAAAATTAGAAAATATTGGCTTTTATTATTAAATGTATGTAGTGAGTCAAAGTAGAAAACAATTCTCCAACCCAACTGTCACCACCATAAAAAATGCATGTGCATTATAGAGCATACATGTGATCATGTTTCCACCAATACATCTACATTTATAATTCATCAAAACCTATTTCATTGACCAAGATTTTGCAAAATACTTTTCCACATTCCAGCTACCATGCAAAAGCGCCTGAAGAAGGAGAAAAAAGCCAAAAGAAAACTGCAGGAAGCCTTGGAATTTGAATCAAAGCGCAGGGAACAAGTGGAGCAGGCGCTTAAGCAAGCCACAACTAGCGACAGTGGCCTGAGGATGTTGAAAGGTAAAGTTTAATTTGGACTTAAAGTAAACAAAATAAATCTTAATTTAAAGAAGAAATAAACAAAGCAAAGGAAGGAAGGAAGGAAGGAAGGAAGGAAGGAAGGAAGGAAGGAAGGAAGGAAGGAAAATGTCCAGGAAAAATTAAAGTATCAATTTGAGGCCAAATTGTTAGGTTGTGAATAAAACCTGTCAAAATAAGCCCTATTCTTGGAGATTAAAAAAAAGAAAATTCTGCTGACTTTTGCAGTAGAAGCAGTAAAACTAATATCCTTCCTACACTGAAATGTAAGTGTTTCAGGTCCATTGATGTTAGATATGCTGATGTTTGGTGAACTTAATTTTGATCAGCTATATAGGATGTTGGTTTCTTTGATGCACACTACATTAGTGTTGAGGCATTTAAGGTTTATCTGTGGGAAAACGTGCTTAAATCATGAAATATCTTAATTCCACTTTTCTGATTTTATTTTACCTGAAACAGCATAACATTGGTTCATTACACTCAGACATAGTATGAAGTAAATGTTCAAGTAAATATATGTACACACACACACACACACAGGGAGCACTTTTACATCCTAATTACTTGCTTTTATAGCTCATCTGAAGAACACAGTAGTAAAATATTTGCTTCCAGAGTTAGTACTACAGAAATACCATAAACCATAATGCATATTTTGGTCTTCATTTGCACTTAGCATAGAGATTATCACCATCTATCATATATTACAAATAGAAAATAAAGCATAAGGAATGGACCTTTCCATGTAGGCAACTATATCCATCATCTTTTCATTGTTCTGTAACCAGGGCATATTAACCTGATAGTTATTGATGATTTTTATAAACAAATGATTTTCTTAAAATTTATCTTTAGGGAATGAAATGAATGATTTATTGTATACCTAGAAATCTATATTCTATTGTGAAATACTGCTATAATTTATAATTCTTCCTACTACCATGGAAACATAAAAACAAACAAAAACATGCAAATAAACAAAAAACAATGCCCAAGATTTTGCATTATCTATAGGAACAAACTGCAATTTTCCATTTAACTGGAATCGTAAAACAGAATTGTACCTTAATGTTGAATGTCAACTATTTCAGATACTGGAATTCCAGATATTGAAATAGAAAAAAATGGGACTCCTCATGATAGTGCTGCTATGCAAGGTATGGTAAACAGTGTCCTTCTTGCTACAACTGCTTAATATGTGAACCCTGGGCATATGGTGGGAATGAGCTTCTGTGTTAATACTTTTCATATAAGTAAAATAAATGTTTAACTCTTTTACTCAATGACATAGGCAGCAACTTGCATTTATTTTTTTAGTAAAACTAGTTTAATATGACTGTGAAAACCCAATAACAGTACAGGTACTTAGGGACTAGTAACTTTATGTATACAAAGTGAGAAAATTTTGTGTACATTTAGCTGTTAAAAGGATGTGCATTTATGTATTACCATATTCTAAAAATTTATAAATGTGAATATAATTTACCTTTCATAAGTGTACAATACATGTATTTTTAACTTCACTACTTTGCTTTTTGTAAATGCCACAAATACAATAACCATAACCTATTGATATGTTAAAAGTGTTCCAGACAACATTTTTGTCAACCTTTAAATTTTGATGGTAATTTTACAAACCACCTAAATATGGAAATAGCTGCACGACTCATAATTCATGATTTATATGATACCCATAAATACATAGGTCCTTTAAAATATTTAAAGATATTTACTAGGTAGAAAACAGATAAAACACATCAATACAGCATCTCGACAGAGTGCAAAAGAATCTAAAATAGGAATTTAATTTGACTACTGGAAATTTTCCAATGTAAACTAATACAGTTTTCTAGTTCTTTAATTTTATGTAGATTACACTTATGTTCACGTGTATTGTTTAAAAAGGCTTACATTAATAAATAAAGACATTTCTGTTAGAAAATTATTTCCTAACTGAAAATTAAAGACAACCATGAGGGCTGGGATTATGGCTCAGTGGTAGACCACTTGCCTAGGATGGGTGAGGCCCTGGGTTTGATCCTCAGCACCACATCAAAAACAAAAATAAAAACAAAAAACAAAGAACAACAAACAAATAAATAAAGGTTAAATTATTTTTAAAAAAAGATAGCCATGAATATTTTGCTTGCTGGAGGTTTAACAAATTGGTTCTTTGCTACCATATAGACTAGATCAATGTGAAGGACAGAACTGGTTATGACCAAGAGATTCATTTGGGTGTATCCGAAGATCACCATTTAATGTGGCAGCTTCAGGAAACTTAAAATTTGTATTTATGTAATTTTTTAAATCATGATCGCTCATGGATCTTTTATAATGCCTGATTCTGCTGCAGCTGGATAGAACTAACTAACTAACACATTTACTATTAGATGTGACAGTGTGCATGCTTGGCTCATTCACTGAAGCTTTTGCTTTTTCTTAGCTTTTTTTTATGCTTGCCTGCTTTTTACCCAAAATTTAAAGGCTGTGTCTTTGTAAGAAAAGCCATTTGAATTGCATGAATGTTTGTCCACTAGATATACCATAACTAAATTTATGAAGACACTCCTGCTAGTTGGGGGCCTGGTGTATGAGGTTGCAATCACATACTAGGGCCATGGTAGGGATGAATAGCCTGTAACATTTATTTGATTCATTCTGAATCAGTGACATACAAATATAGACACAGTCTTTAAGGAGCATAGAGCTTGGTTTTGCCCCTAATTTGAAAAGTATGTTAGGTCAGTTTGGAGCTGGAAGAAACAAACCAAACATATTACTAATAGTTGTTTTTTCTTTATTATGTTTTAAGCCTATACCATTATCCAATTACTTGCTATTTTACCTTTAATTCATATGCTGCCTTTAGCTCATAGTAATAACATTTTCCCAATTCTGAGATAAATAGAAGCCTCTGAATTGTCCTGAAGTTTCTACATTTCCATGCAATAGGCAACAGATATCTTATTTGTGGGTTGTCAGTTTGGTGATATATGCAAAAGTATATTCACTGTCTCCATTTGGGTCCAAATTTTTAAATTTTTTAAAGTCTGTAAAGAATGACGTTTTTGAGCTGGGGTTGTGGCTCAGTGGCATAGCGCTTTCCCAGTACATGTGAGTCACTGGGTTCAATCCTCAGCACCACATTAAAAAAATAAAGATATTGTGTCCACATAGAACTAAAAAAAATTTTAAAAGAATGGCTTTTTCACATGAGTATTTAAAATTAGTTGTCACTAAGCATAAGTTCTACTGTGTTTTTTTCTGGCTAACATAATATAATTAGATATATATTTAAATGGATTTAGATGGAAATTATTTTAAAGCAAAGGGGTTGACTTTTATTATTTATTTGTGTTTAACATTTTCCATATATGATAAAACATGTGGGTTATGATAAAATATGTGAGTTAACAATTATTTATTGGAGATCTGCCTTTTAGATGGCATCAAATGATATTCAGGATAAATGTGATAAAAGTGGAAAAGCATGCACTCTCCCTTGTCTTAGCACAGAATTTAAACTACATGCTAAAACTCTCATCATTTTCAGCAAAAGTAGAGTAAATATCTTATGTTAAAATTACATTAGACTACAATCTTAATATCAAAGAAGTTATTTTTAGCAAAAATGATTTGTTTTATTAGCCAGGGTAATCGATGGCTAAAAATATTACCAGAACTAATCTTAAATGAAGTTTACCAAATGAATTAATTCAAATAATTACCTAAAAAATCCTGATAATTTTTTTATTATTTGAGATGATTAGAATTGAAAGATGCCTTTTATATTTGTCTGTGATCTTCAAAAAATATATAATGCTTGAAAAACATAAAATACAACTTTAGTCATTGTTTTTCTATTCTTGCTAATAATTTTGTTTTCTGTGTGTTATGGGTTTTTTGTGACTTATGTTGATACTGTTTTCATATTTTCTACCTCCCTCCATTACTCACTTTTTTTTGTAACTTGGAAGATTATTTCCTACCATTGTTTGTGAGCATCATTATTACAGAATTGCAATAAATGCCATTTCCAATACTCATCTCCATCACAGCAACCAGTTTCAGTATCATTGAAATTCTCTTTTCTTATTGTCAATAATTTTTCTGGATATCTACCCTTAACCTGGAATTCTGCCTTTAAAATCCAATTAGTTCCACTGTGTTACCTCCTTAAGAGAATATGGGGGAGGGACTTGCATGATCTTTCTTAGAAAAAATAAAGTCATATCCACCTTTATCATAATTCCCATATATGGCACAAACTACTCATGAACTATATACTTTTATGTTTAACAAATTTCACCAGCTTAATTATATAACTTCCTACATGCTTTGAATTTTAGCAGACTAGATATCATACATAGACCACCTTCCAATAAAAGAATATCTGTACAACTTAGATTTTAGTAGTCTACTTTCTCAACTATTCCTGAATGTTTAAGGTAGTCTACCAATGAATACATACTCACTTCTATAGGTATGGGCACTATCTCTGGAGGTGAAGTTTTCAGTGGAACAGGTACACTGCTATGGTTCCATTCAGATCCCTACAATTCAACTGGGAATCTGAACGACAGCACATCAACCATCTTATCAACCAACACCCCCTTCACATAAAATAAACATACCAGGTGTCATTAAGTGCACCTTCAGATCAATGATTTTTGCGAATGACATTCAAGTGCCATTTGTGTAGTGCATTTCTGCTGATAAAAGCAAATTAAATTAGCACAACTACAAGTGAGCTGATAAAAACCAAAACCAAACAGCAGTACCATTAGCTAACAAAGTAATATTTTCTCTTTACTGCATTCTGCCATTTAGTTATTATCCTATTGGAAATCTAATTATAATCCTTTTACTCCCTAGTCAAACTTCACAGTTTTTGCAAGCTTAGCACTGACAAGTGATTTCATTATATTTGATTGCCCGCGCCCAGATTGACTTAACTTTACTTGGAGACCTAAAAGCCCTCTCAGTTTCTCAGATTCCCTGTTTGCACATTACTGCAACATCTCCTTTAATTAATTAGCATGAACAGCAGTAACATGAACTGCTGAACAGAAAATAACATCATTTTATGATCGCAGAGAGACTTCTCCTTTTGCATGTTTATACCTTACTTAACTTTTGTATGACTATATTTCATTGTTGGGAGCTATGGGTACAGTTGACAATGTATGTTTCTTAAATTCTTAAAAATTGGCATCATCATCTTAATAATAATAGATAAAACAAACAGAATGTGAAGCTCCTAAAATTTTGGAAAATAGACAATAGCATTCATGAACTGACATTCTAGTCATACAATAAAAGAACAAAAAGTTCAGGTGATATAGCATCATAAAGAACAAGGGTGTAGTGACACACTGTTCCTGTTTTTGCCACTGCATTTGTTTGGGTAAAAAGAAAACAAATAAAAAATCTAATAATTTAGTTTTTGTAATTGGAAAGGCATATAATGTATAATGTATAATGTCTTGCCTTTTACATTTGCCTTTTGGCTACCTATATAACATAGATACAAGATGATTTAACAGTTAAATATATTTTCTTCTGGTATTTTTCCTATAAATACAGTAGAATCTTAAATACTCTTTATTTTATTTTGCTACTAACACATCAGAAGTAAACTCATTGAACTTTATTTTCCTTATGAAACATTTTTGCTCACTAAAAAATTTAGAAACCTATCTTTAGTATAGAATGTCCATTTAGTAATACAAAACTCATGATTTCATTTATACAGTATCTGGCAAAGATGCTAATGAAGAATTAAAAGCAAAATGATTGATTCCATTTGACTTCAAAGGTACCAGAAACAATTTTAATTTCTAAGTATTTAAAAAGACATACTAAAAACATAATTTAATAAAAATATAGGTATTTAAATACATATTTTAAGATGAAATGCACATAAATATGTATAATCTTATTCATTATCTCAAAATCATTTTGAGGGCTGAGGTTGTGGCTCAGTGGCAGAGCAATTGCTTAGCACCTGAGAGGCACTGGGTTTGATCTTAAACACCACACATAAATAAATAAATAAATAAAGCTATTAAAAATAAATTTGAACAGTGCTTATCTTTTTGTGCCCCCTGCGACTTCTATTGTATCTTTTCTATTTGCTGCACATTTGCTAACA